AGTTTAATTTCTTAAAAGTAATTAAAGCGCCTTATCATGATTTTATATTTATGCAACAGCTTATAAAATATCAAAATATTGATTCTAAAATTGGTATTTCAACATCAAAAAAAAAAAATGTTTAAATCATCTTTGTTATTTAATTCTCGAGACAATAAGATATTACTTAGTTAAAGATAATGTTTCAATGGTGATTAAAATAAGTACGATTCAAGATTTATTTGAAGCAGGCCGAAAAAGAGTAGAGGAAAAATAAAAAGTTAAAACTAAAAGGTAATTTCATTTCAAAAATGAGTTTAATTCCTTTAAAAAGAGATTTTCATCTTTTGTAACATCCGACACCAAAAATTTATTTAGGAGATTTTCTAACTGAAGCTCTTTCTATGTGGAAGAATGATTATAATTTCCTAAGTGGATTGGAAATACTTAAAAGGTTGATTGTTGTAAATAATGTTGCAGAAACAGGTATTAAACTTATGCAATGTTATAGTAAAATTCATGTAAAAACAGACAACAATATGTTTTACAAATTGTTACTGCAGACAGAAAAAAAAATTCAACTACCACAATATTCTTTATCTACAGCATCGAAATAACATTAAATTGATTACCATTCATTGATAATAATTTTTTATTATTTGGTAAATGTATCATGTATCTTGTGGTCTTTTATTTACTTATAGTACACAAGGTTTTCCATTAAACCAAAGTTAATTTTATCTTTTACGATTAAATAAATTTATTTGATTGATTGAGTTATTTAATAGTAATATTAAAGTTAAGGGAAAAGAGGAAACAAGATAAATGAAAAAATAAGAACAGTAAAATAAAAACAAAACATAAGACAAAAAAAACTGTCATATTTTTAACTATAGACAAACTATTATAAAAAGTTTTGATCATACAAAAAAATATTAATGTACAAAATTTATAATAAATTTAATTGAAGTAATATTTGTAAAAAATATATGATCGTAGAATGTCAGGTTTATCAAATATAAGAATATAACTAAAACATGGTACTTTTCCGGAGCAATTGAAATTTATTTGTTTTTTTTTTTCATTTTTACTGAGAAAAATAATTATTTTCTATAAAAGATGTTTTGATCCTTTTTATAGCATTTTTTTTTTCATATTGAATAAACTCTAGGGGGTGGGACAGTCAAGTTTCAAAAAAAATGTCTGCTTCTCTTGCTATAGCATTATTCTATGTAAAAAAAAGTTGTAAATATACTTCTTACAAAAAGAACTGAAAATTAATATCATAGTTTCATGATTTAAAATTATGATTTTTTAAATAATAACGGTCAACAAAGAGTGTGACGAGAAAATTAATGACTAAAATTCAAACATATTCTAAGTAATTTTTACAGCTCAATAACTAATTCCGCTTTTAATAAAACGTACTATAAAAACAAATTACTTACGTTTTATAAAATCATTTAAAGTAAAACTTATTAATTAAATTTTACAATCATATATTAGAATAGTAACCTAGCGGATTTCTCTATTTTGACTATATTTATTTCTAAATACATAAAATTTAATATTTAAATCAATAATATTGAATAAAAATTATAATAGTCATGATTATGATGTACTAGTGCTTAATTCATATTAATACAGCGTGAGTTGAAAATATAGCTATCAAACCTTTTTTATTAAAAGTGTAAGAAAATTTAACTGGATTAAAATAATGTAATGAACATGCTACACATTTCAGTGCAATTATGATTAACAATTTAGTATAAATTACCATGTTTATGTTAGACAAATTCTGGAAGCGCCGTATTACTTGAATTTTAATAGTGTACTGTTACTGCAGGGGACTATGGGTTGATTACAAGTAGCGACGAATTGCCTTGTGCGCCGTGGTAGTCTGTCACGTTGACTGAGCTTGTCGACGAAACTTTTTAGTTTAAAATGCAACTATATTGTACAATGAACGAAATCCACGCACGCGACTGTGATGTAGGCGGTAAATCATTGATGCCGCCTTCGACACCACACTCATATTTTGGTTACTTTTATAATCAACTTATTTTTATTGAATGAATATAAGATTTATTTATAGAAAGTAAACTTTCTATTAAACTCTTTGTATACAAGGAATTTTACCAGGGATGACCATAAGTATACATTACACTTAGAATTATTCATACTTGGTGACTACTATAAATTTGTAGATCATTTCTTTTTACCTCAATTCTCTTCAAAGTATTAATTATACATTTTTAACAAAATATATTCAAGAGCGGACTACTGTATACAGCACAGTGATTATTGTGCTTATGACCGAAAATTGAACGATTGGGCCAGCTGAGCACTAAAAAGGTACCGCGGCTACGCACAGTGGTCTGAAATCAAATTTTAGGCGCTCATAAGTCTCATTTTAAAATGTACTCATAATGTTAAAATAATTATGAAAACTCAATTCTAGTATATTGCTTAGACAAAATATAAAATTTCAAGGTCACATGTTAATTTGGTCGTTATTTATAGTCGTTTGAAGTATAGATATGGTTATATTACGGTTATTTCAACATAAAAAAGGTCTTTCGTTGTAAAGTTTTTTAACAAGTTAATAAAAATTTTTTTCAAAATTTTTTTTTTTATTGTTTTATTAAAAGTAAAGGTCAAAGATATCAAAAAAAAAATTTCTAAAAAAAAATTNAAAATTTTTTTTTTTATTGTTTTATTAAAAGTAAAGGTCAAAGATATCAAAAAAAAAATTTCTAAAAAAAAATTTTTTTGACTTTATAATGATCGTTTTAATAAAATAGAGCATTTTTGAGGCGTTTTTGAAACTAAAAAGCACAATACTAAAAATTAGCCAAATTCAGCCTAATTACCCACTGCCCAGGAGGAACACTGGACAGTGACCTAGTAGCCACGCCAAGCAAGATAGTACTTGTTAGACGGCAGGTCGACTCGACGTTTATTTTAATAAAAAAACGGAGGACAAAAAAAATACATGTACAAAAAAAAACGTGGTTTTCACAACAAAAAAATATAGACAAAATACGACTTGTCGCTTCAGTAGTATAGTTGAGAAAAAAAAAAATTTCCGTTATCACGACATTTGTAGTGACCGGTGATTGTGACGCCGGGTAGTGGTGGTACCAATTTTGACACGTCGATTGGGGGGAAATACAACAAAATGGGTATAGGTGCATAG